GTCCAATTTTTGTTTACACATTTTACCAATCAATGCTGCGCTGTAATCCAGGTCTATTCAAAGGTGTAATGCAGTCGTATGTTTTTGGTATATGGATCAGGATAAATCGGTGGCGCTATTTAGTTGCATTGGCAGTTATAGCAAATATGGAATTTGTTATGCAAATAGTCTTTAAATTAGAAGATTTGACACTTAAATTTGGTTTAATTCAGAAAGTACGCCGCCCTCACTTCACAAGCAACTAAATTTAGTGGGAAGACGCTAAATATTAGTCTGCACGGATTCCGTTACTCATATTATATAACCCGGGATACGCTAGGTTATATGTACTTTATTAATCAGTTAAATTTAGTTTCGCCCTGCAATTGGCGAAATCTCCAGAAAATAGAAATGGCACAGAAATAGCGATCATAGTGAATGCGTGGCAGTAATTTTTGTTTAATTTTTAACAGATTTCAGGCTGAAATTGCGCGTATCGGAAATGAGTATTGTCGAAGTCTTTTTTTTTATTTAGAGACGCATTCTTTTTATTCAGAACTTCTCTAGGGTGTTACCGTGCATGCTTTTAAGGACGTTTTATTGGTACATATCTACTATATTTTATTTCATATGACTGGATTCCAGTTTCCAATACGGTAAATAATATATTCTTTTTTCTCAAAATACGGTGTCAGGTACGATATGTGAATCAGTATGTTTCTATAGCACCTATTGCTTTGTTATTCTCCACAACTAACCGTAAGGAAGCCTTCACGTTATAGAGAATTAGATGTTCCCGTTATAGTTACCTAGAGTTATGCAATGTTCGTTATCCCGTTCGTCCTCACTAAAATATATATTCTGCTGCAAAATAGTACTGTAAGTAATTGTCAGCCATGCGACAACGGCGAAAAATCTAATGTTGCACTTCTAGTTGTAATTCAGTACTTTAAACTTAAATGATATTTTCAAATGCTAAGAACTCTAACAATAAACCAGCTGGTTCTCCTTAAGCTGTATTTATAAAATAACCTTACAAATTTTGTTACTTGTGCTTGTTGGTGCGTCGTTTTTTTTCTTTTCGTTCTCTGCTTCGTTACTTTTTAATGGTTTTTGCTTCTGGATATCCTATAATAAACAAACATTATAAGCGGCATAAATATTACATATGCATATTTCGTAGCACCGTTGCAAATGAAATCTGAATTTTTTTATGAACCGGTATCATTCGCTTTCTGAAACTGTGTGCTTGGACGCATTATTTTCGTGTACAAAAAGATGAGGCAGGTTTATTGCACGGTTTTCGAAAATTTGCAGGCTGGACTCAATTGATGCGTTAGTGTAGAGGGAATCTAAAATCGGGGTTCGTGGAAAGGATCGTGTTGACCCTGGTTGTGTAGTCGTTTTCACGAGCAGGGTTCGTAACATATATATTAAATTATGTTTATAGGTAAATTTGTGATGGATGAACTCCATGCAGCGGTACAAACGTTGTATCAAGCAACTTATTATTGGTAACTTTAACTAAACATTTTCTTCCCTGACATTAATAACGAACCGAGGACTGGGGTCAGCTAATTATGCAAGTTCATTGATTTGTCGTAAGCAGCGTTGACGCACCGGTACACAAAGAATAGTTTTTGTTTCCGGTGGATGGCTAAGTTCTGTACAGATATAATTGCTTTAGCCTCGAAGAAGAATAGGACTGGCTTGATCCGAGAATGGGAACAACCAATGTACGCAAACAGGCAATAATTTTTGCGCAAAAATCGATTGAAATATTTTCGTATGTTATGGAAAATCAGAGCATAATGACAAATTAGATTTACTTTTCTGCCAAAGAAAAACACAGCCCAAGTGCTTCATGGAAATTCATGCTCAATGAGAGCAGTTAATAAACGACATGGTCTTTGCATTAGCACGAATATCGGATGTGAGCCTAGTGAATTGCACTGCTTTGAACGACGGGATCCGTTTGCGTTCTCCGTCATCCTTAGGCGGGTTGGCGAGAGCATGGAAATGGGAAAGTTGTGATTCTGTCAATAATATTTCATGGCAAATGGAAAATTATATTCATTCCTAACGAAGAGTTGGGCGGAACTGGTCGTATATGCAATGATGTGTGTGTTATGTACTTCTTCGTGATTATATCACGAGCGCTATTTTGTTAGCTAGACGAGTCCAGCTGCTGATTTGGACTAATTGCTTCTCTTTCGTTCCATCAGGGAAAATCGATTGACTTTGTTTAAGATGACTGCTCGACTATGCACTGGCAATGCCGATTAAAATGTTGTTTCTTTTTCTGGTTACATGAAATTACCAGATTGAGACTAACAAGCTTGTGGCTCATCATATATAGTGGGCTAAAAGCAATAACCGAGCTGTGCTTTATGGCCATGGTTGAGCTGGAAATCAGGGCTAACGAAAGACTCTTAAACAGCGTAGGCATCCGGAAGTGAGCCAGCATTGCAAGCAGCTTTTGTTAACCAGAAAAACAAAGAATAAGTAGTATTCAATAGTCCCCTAATTCTTATCATAACTGTAACCTTTACTATTGGTATAAACATTAACCTTAGAAATAGTTATTTCGATTCCTGTAGTTCAAAGTATCTCACCTTTCTTGCCGGTTCTTTAAACTTCCTCAGAAATATCCATGTTATTTTGTGGTGTGATAATCCAATGGCTTCTACCATTGTTAATAGTTTCCATGTAATCCTCGGATAAAGGTTTTTGATTTGCTGAATGTGTCGGCACTGGCTGCGCCTTTAAATTTTCGTTATTCCAAAGGATGTTATTTTTAAATAAAATTATGTAGTGGATATGTTTTTGTTATGGTGTACAATGCCTCTGGATTTTTTGGCGTTTTGGTTGTCGGTACTTCGAATTCAGTACTTCTGCCTGTGTATAAGTTCTTACTGTGGAGGTTTTAAATGAAACTTTAGACTGACTTCCTATAACATAATGTAACAACTAGGCCTTCGTTATTTTCGTAAAAGATTTCTTAAATGTGTTGTATATCAGTGGCATTGTTACGTTATTAAGTTTTGCTTGTGAGGAATTTAATCATGCTGATAAGCGGCGCTGTTTGTGATAAACTTGTGTAATGCTCGAATCTTGTTAAACTACTATTTCTATTGCAGCTAGATTAAATCATGATCACAAATGAAAACCATAAAAATGATACCTCTGTGGCTGAAGGTTGACTAGCCTTATTTTTAACTTCTCGATGAAAGCGCATTATTATCACGTACGACCAACTATCGGGACCGACTGTTCACTGTAGTGAACTGCTAATAAACGCAGTCCTATCGCTGTTATTACTCGGAGACTCGCAGTTGCCGTATTAACTGCCTTGCACAGAGTAGAACTTTCAGCAAAGTATGAAGAAATTAAAACTCATCACGAGGTGCAATTTATTACCGGCCGTAGCTGTATTGATTTGCGCGTTCGCGACCGGATATCCAGCAATCGGTGCGATCGACTCGCGATGGATGTTTATGCAGAAACATCCATATGCGATGTGTGTATTGCTGGATTTGTAAATCACATCGTACTGTATTACGAGCACATATTTTGTTAAATTCAAAGAATCGCGCAAGGCTCAGGCTTGGGATCCAAGTAAAGCTACGCCAAACAATGTGCCAAACCTGTTGTACTTAAAATATTGTTTTAGCGCTAGAATTAAACGTAGAGACATCTCACCGAGCTATGGTTTCCTCAAAACAATTTACGCACAACCCCGCCATCGGAAAATTGTTTTTACAGTGAAATAATTTGATTAATTAACCGACAACATGTTTAAATTGCACAGATGTTAAAATCTAAATTTTTTTACAGTGTACGGTGTATTAAATTCCTGTGATAAACATAAAGATTCCGAAGAAATTATTAAAACGCGGTATAAAATTTGGAACCCGTGTATTATGCGTAATTTTTGTTTGGCAGGGTATTGTTCTAATCGAAGGGTATACTATACGAGAGCGAATTCAGCAAAATTAATTCCTTCCTCTACATATTAAGTGGCAATAACGAGTAAAGTGTTGGTCAGCTACAGGGTCGATGCGGTATAGTACTAAAGGCATGTTGGGACAGAGTGGCCGGCATGGATGATGTAAAGGAATGTTGCTTGTACCGCTCTGCCAATTGCCCGCCTCCTCCCATCTGGTATACGTCACAGTGGTCTACCTCTGCAGTCTGTATAGAATGCAGACTGTAGCCATATTGCCGCACGGCATTGGTGACCCACTACGGTGACCTAATCCTTTGAGTTTTCTCCCTTCTGACCAATGGCCAGCTGTGCTGCTTGGCGTGGGAATATCAACAAAGCCTCTTGTTAAGTTTAAATTAGGTTAATGTGACCATGGCTAGCGGTCAGCCGCGAACAGAAACAGATGGATTGTGATGGTGCGAAGAATGGCATCTATACTTGGTAGCCATTAAGACTCACCGGTGCTGTGCGCGCTTCGTTATGCTTCTCTTTCCATCTCTCTTTGTTGATTATGATCAAAGAAAGAGGGAGGGAGGGGAATTTTAAAGTTTAACCGGTAAGCTACTTAATTCTTGCCATTAGAACGCTGGGTTGTCATCTGCTGCGCCTCTAACACAAAGCCCGGCATAATGAGCGGAATGTCCATGAGAAAATTCTATTTTAAAAGAAGATAAGGTAGTTAACGATGCCAGCGGAGCCAGTGTGTATTTCGCGGCTGCGGTGGGCTGTTGTTGATTTTAACTACGTAGTCGTCGATGGTTATAATATGGGAACGTAATGAGCACACAACTGTACAAGAGGCACAGCGCGAAGAGCAGCGCACACAGTACGGAATTAATGAGAAAGAGTGACGAATGGGGCTGAGAGCGAGCCTGTAGCCTGGCCCGATACCCAAACTCTTTAGTTTAAATTTCATCAAGAATCTGCATTTAATCGAAAATCGGTTGCTTGTGAGTTATGAAGAGTATGTGTGTCGATCCTGCGCCAGTATATACGTACACGTTATCCATATACATTTGCGCGCAATCATGCCGCAGTCAGGATCCATCCGCATCCAGTGGTCGGATGGGGTGACGCCCCTCGATGGGATGGAAAACTTTTTAATAATTAGATCATCTATTGGTCTGGTCTGTATGTAGATTAGCAATTAGCCGGCCAATCCTAACGAGGCTGATCATAGCCCGGCATTCCGTCTACACGTACACAACTCCATACTGACGAAATTTCATTCTCGTACTCATATTTGAATCGCGAGAGTGTATGTGTGTATGTCAGCGTTAACTACGCAACCTAGCGCTGGTGCGCACTTGCCTATAGAGCGTTATCTATCCCTTCCCCTTATAACACTTATTCTTTAAACTTTTGATGGATTGCCGTAGTTAGGACGCTAAGGACGAACGTTTAAATGAGCCGGCCAAACAAGCGCAATATACGCAGCCAAACCCGATGGAAAGTTGTAGTTAGTTGCGAGTCTCGGATGTACATATTGTCTGCTGGGGTAAGAGTATAAGCGGCATAACAGCGCAACCGCTCACCATGAATTCCTTTGTAATATGATCTCCGACGATTAGTATGCATTATGAAAATTGATTGAATGTGCCAGTCGCCAAAGATGCTCGTGCTGTTAGGTGATTTTATTCCGACACGGGCACATATGTGTATATCCTAATGTGAACTGTGAAGCTGCGCTAACTGCGCCGGTAACAAACTCAATAGATTTGATTGTCTTAGTCATCGCTGATTTTGGAAGTCCATAGTTTTTTTAGTAACTTGTGTTTTCATATATGCGGTTTCTTTTGACAGACGGGAAACACACATTCTGATTGGAAGGGAAGGATCCTTCACCGAAACATCGAGCGCCTGGTTCGTATATTTGACCAGAGATCTCCACCCACAGCTGTGGCCGATTCCCGCGTTTCTCCAATAAGAAAAAATATCGGAGAAGACCGATAAGTTAGTGGAAAAGCAGCGCGGCTTTGGGTTGGGTAAGCGAAACCGGACAATGTACAAAAACTCTTGTTTACGTGTATGTATCCATTAAATAAACATTTTTAAAAGATATATTTGGGCTTCAATATGTTCGTTAACGCGATAATTTGTGGTAATTATGCAGGCACAATCTTTTTATATTGGTTTATAAAAACAGTTTGTTTTATCTATAAACTTGGAGATGTATTTAGCAAGTTAATCAGATTTTGAATCCCATTAATATTATGCACATAAAGTGAATATCCGTTAAGGACTTATACAATATTTCGCTTTCGTATGCGTAAACATTGTCTACTACGTTGTTTTTGCACTGTAAGATCGTTGGTTAAAATTTTTGTAATTGTGAAACCAGAGAGCTTTAACATGTAAGACATAGAAAGTGGCGGTCTGTGATCTCAAGGGAAATGTGTGTACAAAGTCTGGGGGATTTTTTGTATAAGAGATCCAAGTAGGATCACGAGAAGCGAAGGTTGGACTGGTTCGCTGTCGTTGCCAGTGTTTAACGGCCTTCATTGTCTCCGCTGGTTAATTCCATGGGGTTAATTAAGCAAAAGCACAGTACGCAAAGTAGGACGAGTTAAATGTTGGGAGAGACGAGATGTGTGTTTGTATTGCACATATCCGCCGCAACGTGCTGGCGTACAGGGCTAATGGAAATGGGTATGACGTCTTAGTTGGCGTTATCGACCGGTTGTTCTTCCTAGAAATTAATTAGGAGAAGTGATGTACCTTTATTGGCCGGATCTAACAACTAGCAATAGAAACTAGCTTCAACCATCATCCACAAATGATGCACTGCTGGTTGTGTTCACATATATTGATATATATACATGTTCATGTGCGACACCGTGTATTACCGCGTTGATGATTCCTTCTGTTTTCATTTTAATGCGCTGTGAAAGTTCAGGGCTCATGAATGTTTATTCGTGCCTCAATCAGAAGAACGTGGTTATGCCGTAGCTCGATTAGCCAGGCAGCGAATCCATAACTTTTGATAGTTAAGTGCGGAATGTGACGCATTTTATGTTGTTTGCATACATTTGCGAACCGGTGCCTATTAAGTCGCTTGTTGTTCACCTCGGAATATATACTGGATTCGGCAATCCTGCATCATGTATGCGTGGATAATTTCTTATATTGACCATAGAGGTACTACCACTACTCTGCATTGGTGAGGTATGAATATGAATATTCTGCAGGTGTTTCGGTTGTGTTCCTGCCGGACGTATACTGATTGTATACTGATTAGCACACAATATTAAATTAAACTGCACTGCCATATTTTAACGCTAGCTCACAATTATCCTCGGAACGATACAGAGCAAAAGCCAAAGGTGCGCATTTTTTTCCCTGCAGCAACGAATTAAATTTAAACCAACGATTTCAGAGGAAATCGTCAGTTTCGAAACGTGCCGGTTAGTGTCCAAAAGGTACACGGTTCTTTTGTACACGTTTCGGTTTTGGCGGGATAGCCGACATATATCGAAGAGCTGCTGCGCGTCGCAGAACACGGCTTGCGTACAATCAGTTATCTGGTGGTCTTCAGTTCAACGCCGAACCGATGTGGTTTGAAAAAGCAGAACTTGCGAATTTTAAATTCCCACCCTAGCCTGGAATAGGTTATCAAATTTTTGATAGTATAACATAATTGTGGCATTTAAAATTACTAATGTGCATACGGAATATTATAAAATGTCGGTGTATAAGTGGCATTCTTAAATTAAAGTTTATCTTTTCAGAATTTTAACAGTTGTAGGAGCTGCGACATTAGCTTCAAATACTGTCCGGAATTAACTGGGACGATTATGAGCCTAACGCATTTTATGGTGAAGTTGATAATGTACAATATCACGAAATGCGCTGCAGCTTTGCAGACACGTTATATGCATAATTTGTTAAGGTTCATAAACGCACTAGTCCCGAAACCCAGTTCTCGTCCAACTAACTGAGTGATGCTCATTTGATTAACATATTATCTCCAATTTCCAGTGTGTTGAATTAAGAGGGATATGTCGAAAACATGTTTATTGCGCAAAAGGAGAATGGATGAGTGAGCTATGTATGCGTTAGCGAGTGCGCTGCTCGCTGTATGGAAGAAGTACTGTGTCGGCAAAAGGAGTTTAATTTCTGTCGATAATTTCGGTGGAGTTCATAAATGCAACTCGTTAGTGAAGGAGTTTGAGCACAGTGTTATCTGTGTGTTGGCATCCAATGAGGAAACGCGCTCACTGGGGAAAATATGGACAGGATTCCTGATCCATAAGTTTCGGCTGCCGGCCTGCATGGCGTAACTAGTTTGCTTGGCTTATTATTTGCCGTTCATAGTTCATATCGAAATGGGACTTGAGCTCTATTCTGATGTTTATAGTTAGGGCATTGCCGTAATATAAGGAAGAGGAGCGGATAATATTCATTTGTTGAGTACATGCGACCAGATCCTGCACTTCGATCCATTACACTTTGATTGGGTTCGTTAATACAAATGCCCATAAAGTGCATGTATGCATATGCAGACGGAAAATTGAGACAATATACTGTACTAGGGAAATGTGCTAGTCTTAAACCTTCCCGCTCACATACGTAAGAAAATGTGTACAGTACTGTACTATATGTGCACATTACTTATTCCCCAAAGCAGCGCAGCTACGTAGAATGTTAACATTATGAAGGCGAAAACGCCGATCCGTAATGAGGCCATGGGATAATTGCAAATTGATGTTTCTTACATAGCCGATTAAGCGGGGCGTCGTTCCTTGGATGGTTTGCATTTTGAATGTTTAGGGTGTGTAATCATACGGCAAGAAGTTCGTGAGTCAAGTCGTTGTTCGTCTGTTACTCTTATTTTCGATAAAGTATTTAAATTAAGCGATTTTCAGTTTCACTTCCTGTTCGTGGTGATAATACTACTTCTAGTCGGATAGTTGTGGTGCGTTCTGCTCTGCATTTCTTTTGAAACGGTTGCTTTGAAGTGTAGTATAACCCGCTCATTTTCTAAAATTCTTAAATCATAGCATACTTTGTATATTCCGTGTATGAAATTATGTTCTTATAAACCAGCCGAACTTCTGCTTATTATAATATTACCCCGTTGATGTGCTTCTACGGTGTACAAGTATACTTGGTAGTAGTGTATACCGACATTTACAGTTATTAAGGGTGTGTGCTGTGATCAGGAGGCTCCGAATTCCTGTAATGTCTGACTGTATACACACGAATGCGGTTCTGGGTTAGGACTGAATGCAACTCATTTGAAGCGTGTATATTGCAGTAAAGTTGTAAAGTTTGAAATTTGCTCATGCGAAGTACGATGTGAAGGCGATACGCGAGTAGCTAATCAATGCAGCCGAGCTACTACCATTAAATTTCAATCATTAAACCATCCTGTAATGAAGTATTCCTTCAGACGTGCTGTCTGAAAACTGTGTGCTATTAGATCTGCACATGGATTTGTAGGCGGATACTGCATGTGCGAATGCGTGTATTCAAGAACTGTGGAGCTCCAGAGCCGTATAAAATATGTGTTTCTTATATGTGATTGTAGGGACCCCGGAGTGTAACCGAATGCCTAATGTAAAACGCAGAAACCTTTGTTATGCTGTCCTCTGCCGGCATTTAAGTTCCACACCACAATTGTATTTGGTGTGTATTATCTTCAACGTTATTTAATTCAACAGATCTGTACGAGTACTGCATATTTATTGCAGTATTTTAAATCGAAATTCGAATCCCGAAACTAGGCATAAAATTAAAGTCTTATGTAATTACTGCATGTGGTTCAAAGGTGCTTTTCATAAATAACTGGCACATGAAATAGCTATATGAAAAGGTACATTTCTGAAATACTTATATTCCTCTTTGCTCGTGCCTCATGATATGTCTCCGGAGGTAGAATTTGTAAATCCACTAAATATGAAAAGCTTGTAGACCGTAAACATTAGTTAAGTTTCGTAAACGTTGCCTTTTGCAAAGAAAGACGCATGGGTGTGTGCACAGTGTACTGCTCCCTTGTCATGTGCAATGCTTTCCTTCAGTACGAGCAGTGCTTCAGTTAAACGTACAGACAGAAGTTTAAAATTAATTGCAGTGCGCCTAGGTCACCAGCTTGGCAGGATATAATTAAATGCGTATAATTGTGGCTGGTATGGCTACTGGTGCAAAGGAAAATAATATGGATTCTGCGAATATCTACACCGGCTTTCATATTCTGTTTGCTTTTAAACTGTTAAGCAATATATGTATTTCAGTTGGGTGAAACTTTGAGTGAATAGACCGGTTTTGCGATGGATCGGAGCCGTTCAGTGGCTGAGGGTAGAAACCGACGAAAGCCACTGTTTTGCCTTGTGAGCATTATACCGATTTCCGGTGCGCTTGCTTGAGGGAATTTAGGTTCGCTGGTAGTTTCGTTAGAAAATCGCGTATTTAAATTTCAAAAGCGACCACTGAAGGACACCACGACTCTGATTTCTGTAATCGGCAGAAAAAAATCTTTGGTTTTGACGTTGAGAATATAGATTATTTTACGCTAAGATTTATTGTTTTCTGTTCAGTATGTTGTATGTCAGCTCTACTGGGCTTACAGTGCCTTTGTAGGGAGCTGCCATCCCTTTTTTACCTATAGTGAGAATGGATATTTGGTTCGCCGTGAAGTTCAACTTGTGAACCGTGTGTTTTGTTGTTTTCGAATTATTTTATGATCGTCCTAGTTCTAACACATCTGCAAATGGCTTTTTAAAATGAAGCAGAAATTAAGCGCTGGCATTGTACATGAGCATCTCGTAATGGGTAAGGGTCGACGAAGGTTGCAGCGTGAAATTCATATGCATCAGAGTCATAAATGTTGAAAATGCCAAACACGACTCTAGCTCTAAATGTAGCACTGAGTAATTAACGCCGGCAAATGCAATTGAGGACACGGATTATGATTATTATGTTCCATTGTACGTGTGTAAAATGCTGTTCGGTTTACGTCAGCAGCGGCCTTGCAGGTCCACTTGGT